GTGGATTCAGTTTTTTGAGGAATCAAAATGTATTTAAATTTGTTCAAATTATTGCATATGTTACAAATGTGTTGTTAGAAATGCTTTATTTTGTGTATGTGAAGTTTTTGTTAGTTCGATTTTAAGCAGTATGACCTGTTATAAGGGCCCAAAACATTTCTGTGCCCGAGGGCCCTGCATGCTATTAAGACGGCCCTGACTAAACCGTAAACCTCTGAACATATTTTCAATTACCATTAGGTAAATAAATCACCAAATATTGTTATTATTATTAATTTGTTTATTTTCTTTAGTTACAAATATATTTGCATATATATCTGAATGGCTGAAAGTGTGCAATAAATGTATAATATGTATCGATAGCACGGAATTGTGTTGCCATTTTTTTTTCTAATTTTTTATACAAAAGATTTGTCTTCAAAATTATTTTGTGAATTTAGGTGCTGCTGCCATCTAGATTTGAATATGTAACTTTTTTCACAGCAAAAGTTTCATTTTTTAAAAAAAAAAAATATTTATTTATTTATACATTTGTTTAAAAAGTCGTAAAATATAAAAACTGAATTATTTTTCATATTATACCAATACACATAATTTTTAAGCCTTAAAAAATTATATCATGCATCGATTTTTATTTAAAATTATTACTTTTATTTCATTTTCAACGTCTTTTCGTTTTTATTTGATTAAAAAAATGAACTACAACAAGTTTGAGCACAGATTTTTACTGGATATCTGTAAAAAGTTTGAATTATCTTTTTTACACGAAAATTGTTTCTGATTCCCACAAAATGTAATGCAAATTGTAATACGAGGAGCTTAACATGTTCTTCAAAAATTTTGAATATTGAAAAAAAAAAAAAAATACCTCACATTAATTTTATCAAATAAAAAATACTTCGGAACATAAATATAAGGAAAAATTTTAATTTTTAATGATAAATAAATAACGTAATTTTAAGTGTGTATTTTATACCTTAATTTATAAAATGTATCTGAATAAAATGCGTTAAAAATTAACTAATATTATTTTATCTAATGTAAATACCTTTAATCTAATCTTTTACCTTGAATGAATGAATCAAGTTCAAATTATAAATTAATTAATTATAATAAATTTTGTTGAACGACAGAACTGCCTCACTTGAAAATATATCGTAACATTTCTTTAACTGTGCTGACAGAGAAACAATTGAAAGAAATATTTATATGAAAATAAATTGTACTGAAATTTTTAATGAAAGGATCTTTTTTATGTAAACTTTTTATGGTTAATATTACAGTTTAAAGGTGTAATTTTAGTTGATTATTTGACGGATGTTTTAAATAATTGTATTTTATGCTAGATGGCAGCACTATAAGAATTTTGAGTTCAAAAAATATTTGGTGTAAGGTGTTTTTCTCCCCCTCTCATTTTCAAGCCACGTAAATAAAATTCCTACACTAGAATCCTTTAAAATTTTAATTTTAAACATTATAAAGAATGTAGAAGTATAGTTGACAGTGGCATACAGAGAGGGGACATTCAGCCAAAGGGAGCATTATATCCAAAACTACTAAATATTTTATTTAATCGTAATGAATAATAAAATAAGAATAAATATGAAGAATGAATTGATTAATGAAGAATAAAATATGGTTTTCTTTAAAATTTACTCACAAAATATTAAGCCATTTATTATTATATTATTATTAATATGTTATTATTATTTATTATTATTATTATTATTACATTTATATTTATTATATTTTACAACTGAGAAAAATTTAAAATATTTTGCAGGAAATAAACGTTTTTGTATAGAGTAATAAAATTTTTTAATATTAGTTTATTATTATTATTTATATTAATTTTAGTTCCGGTTCTGAACAGCTAACCCCTTTCTCAGTTTACGACTATCAATGTTCAACTCCTTATCCTTGTTATTTTAAACCGAACCTAATGGATGGTCCAGGATCCGGTATATAGGCATATGCAAATATTTGTATATGCCTATATACTGTAAAATTTGGAACTTCATGTCAAAAAACTGGATCATACTATATAGTATGATCCGCTTTTTGACATGAAGTTCCGAATTTCATTGGTGTCATCAGTAGTAACAATTATGAAAAATAATCTAAAATTTCTAATTTAAAGGTATTTACTTGTATTATTTATTCATCATCCTTTTTTAGTATTCCGGCTATTGTTCCGTTTTTTGTTTTGATTATTATTTCAAATTAAAAATTTAAAACTAAAGGCAGTGCTCTTTCGTTCGAAATTACAAGGCTTTGGAGGTGAACATTAGCAGTCGTAAACCCAAAAATTGGGTCGGCTGTTTAACTACTGTTATAAAATAAAAACTTATATGGTAAGGAAACTTAGTAGATCGTTCTCATTTCTTACATGATGCAACAAAATATTCTTCATACCATTCATTTGTTCAACTTTATGAAGTACTTAATGAGTGCTCTTTATGAAGTTTGAAAATCATCATCATCTTGAAAGTTAGTTGATTCCCTTTAAACAAAGTTCCCTTTCAAGATTAATTTTGTAATAATTTTTCAACTTAAGCTAATGATGGATATCAGTGAGGCATTAATAGTGTTACTGATAATATTTAAAACTGTGTGAAATCAGTTTTATCTGACCATATTAACAATGATTGTATGCTTTGCTATAACCAAATTCACAAACATGTTATAAACTAGCGTAATTGCTAGTTGTCTTCAATGAGCCAGCCTTTTTTTAATTTTTTTTTTAATTTTCTATTGTAATCACATTTGAAGTAAAAAAGCCATAAGTTCTTCATACTATGCTAATTAAAAAGCAAATGAATATGTTATGGCTCTAAATATTTAGGATGCTTACATTTACTTCCGGTGTATTTCCGCCGGAAAACAAGACAGAAATGAAGTCTACTTCCGAAAAGATTGACAAACTAAACATCTCTACATTTAATCGAAAATAAGCAAATGAAAGAAATAGACATTTTGTCTTCAATAATAACACTTTTGGATGAAAAGAATTTTCAGGATAATTTATTTTTCAAAATCTAATTTCTTGCGATTTTTTTACACTAAGTTCATTTAATAATATTTAACCTCATAATTATCAAAATTTCCATTTGTGGTTAATTCTAAGGTCAAGACGTGTCCTTTACAGCTGTCTTAACATTATTAATTTCTAAGTCCAAATTTTTGAATTTTTAATTCGAGTTTCGTTTTTTTTTAATCATCCTAATCAACAAACTTCCCTGTATACAATAAAGTAAGGAATTTCGGCATTCGTATTTTGTCAATAAAATCAAATTTCGATTTGTGGCATACTCTAAGGTCAAACGGTGGTATTTAAAGCTGTATATACTACTTAAGGTGATGGTAAATTGCGATCCGAAGTTGGGCATTTCGAAGTCCAATATTAAAGTTTTATTCAACGAATTTTTTTTAATTTCAAAACTTTCCACTGGGTTTGACATCATTCCAATTTTTAAAATCTTACTTTTGATGGCGTGGATGATTTCCTTTTTTTATGTTAAATAATGATAATACTTAAATAGTAATCACATTGATGATAATGTTAAATAATGATAATACTTAAATCCATTGCAAGTGTTTAAGTGCAGATACTTGTGCTTTAAATTGATTAAAAAAATTTTCCCACCAGCGCTAGGGTAGACAGAAATTGCTTCAGTAATTTTTAATAGGTCAAAAAAAAAGGTCAAACTTATGGTGGTGAGGACATTATTTAAATGATTCTCATTTTTTACATGTTGCAACTAAATATTTTTTATACCACTCATTGTTTAAGTTTTAAATTTATAACATCGTATGTAAGAAGACCAAAATTGTAGCGTGAAATATGGTTCTAATAATTTTTTGGTACAATGGCTCCACATGTCCTAACACTTATAACATTAGGCAATATTAAAAATATTATTGCCCGATGAACGCCTTATTTAGATCTCATCAAGTTGTTTCCGTTAATTATGGATTTCTTCTATTTCTTCATCTACACTCTATAACAAAAAAATCGACGCACCAAGAAGGAGTTGTCCGATTGAAACGAAAATTGGTGGATAGGAAGACAATGTACAGGATTTAATGATTAAAATTTCAGATCAATTGAATAATTTATTGCAGAGTTACAGTAACAGGTTCAATAAGGTGTTGACCCACCTCTAGCCTGGATACAAACTGCCACACGACATGGCATAGACCGATAAAGCTCCCGGATGGTCTCTTGCGGTATTTCCTGCCAAATTCGATCCAATTGTCGAACGAGGTCATCAAGATTCCGTGCCAGATGCAATCGCCTTTCCATCATATCCCAGACATGCTCGATGGGAGAGAGATCTGGTGATCTGGAAGGCCAAGGAAGAGTTTGACAAGCTTGCAGACAGTTCATAGCAACACGTGCCGTATGTGGTCTGGCATTGTCCTGCTGAAAAACCAGCCCAGGGTGCTGCAAAAGGAACGGTAGCAAAACAGGTCTTAAGATGTCGTCGACGTACCGCTTTGCAGTAAGTGTACCTCTAATGACGATCAAAGGAGTCCGGCTGTAAAAGGAAATGGCACCCCAGACCATAATGCCTTGTTGAGGGCCGGTGTGGCATGCAATAGTGAAAGCAGGATCCCCCTCTGCCCTATGCGTCTCCAAACACGTCTTCGATGATCGTCAGCACACAGTTGGAAGCGGGATTCGTCGCTAAAGACTATACGTCCCCAGTCGGCATCATTCCAGCCTAATCGAGCGTCGATTTTGCGCGTCTTAGTGCGTTCTTGGTGCGTCGATTTTTTTTGTTATAGAGTGTATTTCCTTTTTTTTCCTTCTGTATAATGTTAAGAAAGAGAAAAACTGATTTTATCTTTAAACTTTTTAATGAAAAATAAGAGACTATTTGTCATTATTTTATGTGGGAATACTTTTTTTTCATAATTTTACAGTAATTCAAATCAGGTACTTTAGTGAGGAAAATTAAATTTAAAAATAATGCATCAATAAAAAAGCTGTATTAGTTCAATGCAATACGAAACTTCTCACCACGTTTAATAAACTAAAGTTTGAAAAATAATAAAACAAATAAAAAAATAAGCATAAATTTATTTACAATAATAATGATATAAACAATGCTCAACATAATAGCCTCATTTAATACTCTGATGACGATTTTCCTGTTCCAATATTGTACGATAATCTTTCAACATCAATATAAACTGGAGAGTTGTCGTAGTACTCATCTTCAAATTTTTTGTTATCAGTCTGCATATTTACAGACGAAAATCTATTTGGATTTCGAACAATATTTTTTTCTCTTCGTGTATTAAATGACGATTCGTGAGTACCCTTTAAAAAATCTTGAGATCTTTCTTCATAAGACGGTACAGTGCTCACTTTCAACTCATTCTTGAGCAGTCCGGGAAATTCATTGTAATTAACGACATCTGGATTCGAAGGTTCTTGCTCATATGCACCTCTTGGTTCTTCGCTGAGCGTTGGCATGGTTTCTGTAGATTCTTCTCGACTTAAGAATTTAGAGCTTGGATAAGTGTCTTCCATGGAACGTGAGCTAATTTCCACACGCTGAGGCTTCATCGGAGAATATAACTCTACAGATGAAAGCTTGGATCTAGAAATGGTTTTCCTGTTAGGTTCCCGATATGCTTTTCGTAAATGTTGTTTGGATCCACTTTGGGTATCAACCTGGGGCATTCTGTATTCTTCTACAGAGGTATATTGAGGCTTCCCCTGGTATATCGGTTTAGATTCATGGTACGCTCCAGTGAGGGAAGTACTGGGTTTGTCAGAATGCAAGGAAGCTTCAGTCTGGAGCATCGGATTTTGTACAACTCGATTCTGTTCTGATGTTGGCTTTCTGTTGAGGGAAGGAGTTGATGGTACTAGCATGTACTTCTGAGGCTGCTCAAGTATTGAGTGTTTGCTTGTATGCAACGGAATGGTTTTCATAGGAGCTCGAGTCGAAAATTTTCTTAACTGCTGGTAAGAAACTCGTGGAACTGGTTTAATTGTTTGGTTTAGAATTTTATCTTCTTTGGCAACGAAACCACCTGTTCCAGCAGAATAATGAACAACACGTTTCTGACCCTGATCATCCACCAGTCCATATGTACCTAAAACATCAATAAAAATTTAAATATACATTGTTAGAATTTTCATTCGGAAATTATCGGCAGCAGTCTGTCGATCCGATTAACCATAAAGTTCATGGTTAAGAGCATTTCTTTACCTTTAAGCTTTTGAAACAGTTTACAATTAGCATAATTTATACCATAAAATTAAAACATAAACAGACATTGGGGTTCTGTGGACTCTGCGCCATTTATGCGTGAAGGATAGTTTTGTATTTTAATAGTTTAGGGTCACCGATTGAAGAGTTCAGGATGTTAGAAACTTTTCATGCATTGAGAAAACGAAAGAAAAAATGGGATTTTAGCATTGGGATTCGAACCCCTGTTCAACCAGTCATGAGATTGAACTATTAGCCATCGCAGCTACAGTGTGTGCCCAGCAGCATGGAACAAAATAGCTTTATAAGGCGGGCCCAGAAGACGTGGATAGAATTCTGGTTGTTAAGCCACATTAGGTATAAACAGTCGAGAAACATTTTTTCGCCAACTTGACAGTTTGTATATCATTTTTTCATGGTTATTTGATAGTTTTGGTCGAATATGGTAAAATAGCAATTAAATACATTTCAATTTAGCAATTTTTACCAATAACGGTGTATTTGACTTCGACCTCGATTTACTTAACGGTTTTAATTATAGTTTTACTTAACATGTGTTTTTGTTTTAAATTTGATTTACGTTTATGATCCATAAATGTAACACTTATATTTGATTAAAATAATAATGAAATTTTAAGATGCAATTTATCATGTTTGCAAGTTAAAGTAAATAGCCAAATATATGCCTATTTTACAATATAATAATTTTAATATATTTTATTTGGGTGCACATCTCACAAAAAAGGTATAAATTATGAATATAAGTCTATTTATAGGAAATAGATATTAAAATTTGAAGAAAAAAAGTTTTGAAATGGATGTAATTAAAAAATAATCGAAAAAACTATTGAAATTAATAAAAAGGGATTAATGTGATTTGCATTTGACTATGGAAAGAAAGTTGAGTTAGTATTTAAATGATTGATTTTAAAAGTACTACTTGACTTTCTTATCGCTTGTGGTATGCTTTGAAATATCAGAACATTATATTTTGATATTAGCTTAACTTTGATTCCTTCCCTGTAGTCTTATATACTTAAAAAAAACAAGCTATATTGCACTGAGAAATAAAGTATGGCCCAAACTACTAGAATATGGTAAAATTTTCCGCATTATGAGAACATAGTTCGGTAATTTTAACTGAAGCTCTTTGGTAATGATTTTGGTAAATTTTGTAAAATTTGGTAATTTTATCATGATTCCTTAGAGCATGGCATAAAAAGTATTTATTCGGTTAAATTTACTTTCTGTTTGTGTATTCTCTACAAAATGTATGGGAATAAGAACTATAATTTTGAAAACCAGAATTTGCGGTAAACCATTTTCATATGAACGGAAAAATTACCAAATGAATAGTTTAAATACGGCATATTTTGGTTTTATTAACCACAATTATTATTGTCTTTATATATATCATTACCATATAGTATGATACAGTTTTCTCTGGTTTTTTCCTATCAAAAAACATTAGCTGTTACTAATGGTACAATTTTTTGTCCTTCGTACTTAGCAACAACTATACACGAATTTGTCATTAAATCGAGAAGGAGCTTTTTTAATTTTATTTTATTCTTTTACTTTTTTTTTAACAAAAGAAAAATATTTGTGAAAGAAATATTTCCCCAAAACTAGTTTTTTAACAGAGTGGTGTCTTGTTTGATTGCAAAATATTTCAAGGTTAATTATCACCTTTAGAAAGTGTTGCTCTTTGTTCGAAGCCAAAAGAAAACATAACAACAGAAAAGTAAACCAATGATTTTAAAATGTATATGTTGGACTGCATTCTAGTTATGTTTTTTTCCAGTGATTTTCTTGAAAACTTTCATAGATTCAATGTTAATCTATTGAGTCACATCTTGTGACATAATTTAAACTTACGTGCCCTCATAAAAAGAGAGTAAAAAACAAATGAAAAACTTTTTTTTTTCACTTAAGAGAAACCTGTGACCTCAAAATATTTAGGATTTCATTCCCTCTTTTTTTATTTACTTATTTCTAAGCCGTATACTTTTAAAAGTTTTTCAAGGACGTATTTAAACAATAAGCAATTACCTTTGTTAGTAAATAGTGTTTATAACTTTTAACTCTTAACCCCTAATTGATAATTCTTAATTGATAAACTTCATATGAGAGAGTATGCAGACTGTAAAAAATGGATACTCAAACATCGCGAAACTTTCTTCGTTTTTGACAAAACCGTTACCTGGTATATGGTCCAAAAAAAAAAAAAGAACCTTTGCAGTGTTTATTGTATCTAACTTTCCAAGTAATCACTTTTCCGTGAATACCGTATAGGTGAATCATTGTTGCCCTAAATGCATAAGAAGGACAGATTGATATACTACATCCATGTCGAAGGCGAGATTCGAACCTGTAATCTTCCCGGTACTAGGTCTACTCCCTGACCATACATTCCGGTCGGCTTAATTCGAAACTTAATTTTCGCCGAGCTAGTCTTTATTCTAGTTTCGACAATCTAGCTAGCTATCTCCTACAATGCACTACGATAAGGTTTCGAGTTGAGGAAACATTTTCGTCTTATATTTGAGAGTTCGCGTTTTGTCGCAAATTACGTGACTTCGTGGCGAAATTATTGTCAAAATTAACGATATACAGCTCTAAGATTGCTGAATCCTCAAAAATGAAAGTTTTATTTCCAAGAGTGCAAGTATAAAACACGTTGGCAAATCATTTTATCTTTAGTACTTTAAAATTGTAGTTTGCAGCTTACGATAAGACAAATGATGCAATAAGCTATCGTAATAACAAAAGACAGTTGGTACCATCAGTTCAATTACACTGTAGCATGTTGAACCATTTTATCTTTCAAACTTACGGTACAAAAATACATTATTAATCATAATGGTGCCAAGTTCAACCATATTTTCACGCAAATGAAGCCATCTTTAACTTAAAGACACGATACTACAAAGAGAAAAAAATTCTACTAAAATTACTGCCTCCCACGGGCTGCACCTCAACAGTTGGAGGGCCGTATGTTGTCCGCAATATTCAGGTTGTACACCCCTACATGTTTTTGCATTCAAAATAGAATTTTTTTTAAAAAAAACCTTACACCTCGCCGAAAATGGTTTTTGTAGAGTTTTATTCACATTAATTATAATTATTATAAAACGCAGAATATGGAAAACATTCATTCACAGCTGTATTTCAGAAAAAAATAAAATTCAAACAAAATTGGTAATCCAATTGTAAAGCAATTTTCGAGAAATTTTTAAAACAAAAAAGAACCATATAGTTGGATAAATCATTAAAAACATCGTAAAATTTGTAAAAGAAAAGCTTTTGTTAAATCAATTAAACTATTTAAAACTCATACAACTCATAAGAATATAACAAACAACTGATCACAACGCTTTTTTAAAGATGGGGCATAAAATATGTTGCATAAAATAGAAAGAAATATATCTCGGGAATATTAATCAGTTTTTATATCATATAACCGCAAACTATTTTGAATTTTGTAAATCAATGCTCTGAGCCGTGGCGGCTCAGGGGATTGAGCACTCGCCTTCCAATGAGGTGAACCGGGTTCGAATTCCGAAAACTTTTTGCCAATAACTGTTCCATTACCTAAACGCATTTCTTCTCTGAAATTTTGGCCTTATGTCCCTTTGCTACTGCCGCATCCAAATTTATATTCCTGTTTTTAAAACGATGTTGTGAACGCTAATTTTTTTTATTTTATACGATCATAAAAATTAAAGATAATTGGCTAATGAATTTGTAACTTCACAAATTGCTTTAAAGCCTTAACATATTTCAACATCTTATCTTAAACCTTAAAAAAAAATATTAAAAGGATTGCTCACAATTGTTCTATTATCTAAACGCATTTCATCTTTAAAACTTTGACCTAATTTACCTTTTCCATTGTCCCGTTTTTATAACGTTGTTGTAAACGTTTTAAAATTTTTTTAAGTACGACCAGGAAAAAACTTAAGGATAATCTGTTAGTGAATTTAAAACATTACAAATTTCTTTGAAGACTTAACATATTTTAGCATCTTAACTTAAACGTTTAAAAAATATTCTTACCAGTAATTGTTCCATCAGCTAAACGCATTTCTTCTCTGAAACTTTGTCCTAAAGGCCCTTTGCCAGTGTCGTATCCAAACTTATAATCCCCGTCAAGTTTCTTTCCTATTTTTACATAATGCAGAGTTGCTGCTGGATAATAGTTTATCGGTGATGCAGGTCCTTTCTGATCAGAATATGTATTTGAATACTGGCAAAATCCAGCACATATCAAGCTTGATGCCAAAACCTAAAAAATAAGAAATCCATTGAGTCAAAAGGGAAATTAAGAAATCCATAGAGTCAAAAGGGAAAATAAGAAATCCAATGAGTCATTTTTTCAGTCAAAAAGGTCAGAATTGGTCAAATTAAGCGATCCAAATACAGTGCAAAAAAAAAAGCTGATATGATACTTTTTTTTTTAAATTTAATGCATTGCTTCGAAATGTTTGTCCGGTGGGGTAAATGTGGTATGTGGTATGATATTGGGTAAATGTGGTAAAAAATTCCGGATTAAATTCTGAAAAAATTACAGGCACTCAGTGTGATTAATTGCTTGTAAGTTAAGTGATTAAAGTACTGGCACTCAGGGTGCCGGTCCTTTTTACCACAAAATCCTTTTTTCCTAAAGATATTACGGAACAAGAAATCACTTAATCACTCTAATTAAATAAATATTAATGTGCAAGTTACAGAATATCATTTTATGATAAAAATGGATTTAACAGATGATGCTCCGAAAGTACAATAATTTTTTACAGTGTGGTTTAGAAACTACAAATTTTATTTTGGAGCTAAATTAATTTGTATCGCTAAATATGAGAGCATTGCTTCAAACTGACAGCGTATTTTTAAAATAGTGATTGTCTGTGTTATTTTGAAAATTGAAGGTTTCAGCAGAGCGATCGAAAGTTCATCCATATACACCGGGTGAGAAAATTTCCAATAGCCAATTCGCCATTGGCGACTAAACATTTCGGACTAGTGAGTGAGTAGCAGAGTTTGACTCTATTGTAACTGAGTTTGATTCGAGAATATTGGAAAACACACTCTGAGAGCTGCAGAGTTTGATACTAGGGCTGCAATTGATAGATGGTATTTTACTGCCGAAAGAAAACGACGGAGGAAAGATCACGGAGGAAAAATACCGTACTGAGGGTTAACAATACTCCTGATAAAAAACAAACAAACATAATTCTTGTTAATGTAACCAAAATTTTATCACGAAAATTAAATTGAATTTCTACTATAAGTAAACGGAGAAAAAAAATTATGTTAGAATTACTATACTGTACGGTAATGCCATTTCTGGTAAAAAAGACCACGATTCTGGTATTGAAACCATAATATATGGTATTTAAATCATTCATTTAGTAGTTTTTCCATTCATATGCTAATGGTTTACCGGAAATTCTGGTTTTCTAAATCATAGTTCTTATTGCCACACATTTAGTAAAAAATACAAAACTGAAAAGCAAATTTATCCGAATAAGGTATCTTGATAAAACTACCAAATTTTAACACATTTCCCGAATTTTATCAAATATTATTAAACCATATTTCATTGTTAATTTCGATAAAAATTACCGAACTTTTTGGAATTTCCATAAACGATAAATTTTATCGAATTCTGATAATTTTGAACATACTCTTTTTTCAGTTATAAATATGAAGTGCTAAAAGTATGAAAACATTTCTGAATATTTTAAGATCCTCGGCATTGAAGCGTTCATTTTATTTGGAAGTAGATTTAAAAGATATGTAGTACCGCAGTGGACTGATCGTTAAGACACGGTTCCCAGTAGATCACCGAAGTCAAGCATCACTGGCTGCGGTCAGTGTGCGGGTGGGTGACCCACATGGATCAGTCTGAGAAAGGGACCGAGGGTGTGCGGTATTGATCCTCGTTAAACTGTCCTACCGTAAAGTGCTCGACTTCGCGTGCTGGTCGTCGGGCTACCGAATCGGGGGTGCAATTCCCTCTGCAGAGGGTCAAAATTGTGATGGCATGTCTTAGGATCATCCTCAGGGATGTTTCCCAGACCGTCGCCAATAGCCCATTGTGCAGCTCTAGTGCGACGTAAATGAACAACAACAACAACTATCTGATATTTTAATTTTGGATATTTTTCTTATTTTAATAACTTTTATTGGTATGTGGATGATATTGAACCACTGAGACCGTATAGCAACCTTATTTTAAGTTAATATAATTATTATTTTGCTATAAATTTTTTTCAATCATCCAGCTTTATAGCTTTTGGTAACCAAAAAACATCTGTTAACATTTAAAAAGAATTTCGTATTTTTCCTGAAAATAACGACGAAGAAAACTTTTAGTCTGACTAGCATATTTGAACTGAAATTTCATGCCCTCTGCCCTAATATATATTGATTTTTGGCCGTAATTAAAAAACTAACTTCTCAAATGAAATAGTTTTATTTGCAGTTATAAAATTCGTTAATCTGAATCGTATGGCGAGTATTGTTTTATAATTTTCTGTAAATATAGTAAAAATTCTTAGTTTCAAAAATTGATATACACTGTAAAAAATTTCGAATCAAATTATGGTATTAAGTACCAGCACTTTCGGTCTTTAAAATATTTTAGTGTAATATTTTTTTTAATTAAAGTGGTACTCTGATTTTATTGTAAGAATTACGGTACAACGTTTATTCTGAGTTTTCATTTTTTAAAAAAGAAAAGATCTGGAAATAAATACTCTTTCTTTGATTTATAGGTTTGAACCATTCTCAGTCTTTAACGAAGCATGCAGACATTCCCTATGAAATTTCACTGTTTTTCTCGATTTTCTTTCACATAACGACACTAAGGGATCAAAAGGCGTAACAGGTACCATAATACCTAATATATTTCATTTTTCCAAAGTGTTACTCAAACGAACTGTGATAAAATAGCTTCGTTCATGGAAATAATGATCATATTTTTATGTGAATAATGAAATTGAAAAGAATTGGCCGCTTTATTTACTTCACTATTTCAAAATGCTATTATTCAACTGTTCTTTGAAAAAAGTGATGTTCGTTAAATATAATTTAAAACATATTTATCTTTCTGTTATATTCATAAAATATAATTTAAAACAGCTTCACAAAAGCTTTCTTTCTATTTGTTTTTGAATTGCTTTTGAAACAAAAAAAAAAGTATTTTCAAAATTGATAACGCAAATATTATAGAATTTCTCGTGTTTTACGTATATCTTTAAAATAGTTAACAACGCTAACGACTTTGCATTTTAAAGTGACTCATATTTGAAACAAGAGATATCAAATATAAGTTAATGTATAAGACTAAACTTAAATAATATATAACATTAGATTAAAAAGTTTTTTGGTTATTTGAGGAAAATTAGAAAAAAAGGAAGAAATAAATTGAATTATAAACTTTTTAAAATTTTCATACAATTAAGAGACTGACTATAAAACCTTCAACAACTTTCCAATTATGTAAAATTAAATTTAATTAAATATTTTTTGTTATGGTACTTCATTTATTAATGTTTGAATAATGATTACTTTTATCAAGCAGGTATAATTAATTTATTTTATGTTTGTCAATGTAATAATTGTAGTTTTTTTTTCATTCCTCTGTTATTAAACATTAATTCATTGTTGAGCTTTACATAAGTATTTCAAAGTGACGTAATTATGTTAACAACACTTTGAAACTTAGTTTACTGCATAAAAAGAAAAGGAGTGTTTGAGAAAGATTTTAATGACTTCTTCATTACTCTATTCTTGGATAGAAAAAAAAAATTCACTAGCAAAATTAAAGTTGGATGCTGTAAAAGCTAAACATTAAATGAAAAATAGTGAATTAAAAACAAATAAGACTGAATTAAAAACAAAAAAATGAGAATGAAAAATTTACATACACAGCTATTTCATGCTCAATTATCAGAAAAAGTTTAATTATTTATTGTGAATAAATGTAAAATATTTAATGAATTCTTTAGAGTAAAATAATTCGACATATGCTGCTATATATCAACTAAGATGAACATTATGAGAGAAATGAATAATGCATAATGAATCGCATATAAAACATACTGTGCTTACATTAAACAGAACACGCTGTTTTACTAATTTTATAAGGACAAACTGAATCCTTAATTCAAGAACGTATTGTTTTGATATCAATTATATTTCGAACAGTAGACAGGAGACTTCAATGATAATTTCAATTAATTAGGAAAATTTGATAATACTTTGTTGTACTGGTTAAAAATATAAACTGACACCTTGCTACCAGAATTTGTTGCATCCAAATCAATTTTATTTGGATCAAAAGAAAGAATTTGATAACAATATCAGCCTTTCCATTATTCTATACATACTTTGAAATATGTTACAACAATTTAAAAATGACGTCAAAACTCGTAAACCAAGAACAAATAAGACATTTCCAAACTTGGTGTTTAGTTGTCGAAAAAATTTTAATTTCTTATTTTGAACGAGCGTTTTAAAACATTGAATGATATTTCGAGAGTAAAAGAGTTCAAGAATTGCTGCAAAATTACAGAGATCACATGAAATGGATGTTATTATAAAGAACTAAATTCTATCTCTATATTTTATCTCTTTCAATTTTATACTGAAAGTATTACTCCTTTTTCTAATCACAAACTGAAACTTTGCTGTTGGATTTTATTGTATATTTAAATTAATTTCATTTTAAAGGAAAAAAATAAAACAATTATTATACATATTGCAATTTTGATTGCGATTTCAATAGCTTTTCCATTATTCTATAAATATTTTGAAAATATGATTGAATGCATGAAAAGTTCGATAATAAGTAACTCTCAAATTCAATCTTCAAATTCGAAACAAATAAGACGATTTTTTTTAACTAATATTTAGTTATGAGAAAAAATGTGAATAAGTTTTGTAAAATATTTAGTGATTTTTTAAAAGAATATAACTCGAGACTTTAAGTAAAATTTGTTCTTAGTTCAGGTTCAAAGAGGTAAAAGTTGTAAGAGAACTGAATAATATTACTTACAGTAAACTAGTATTTAAAAAAAATAATAATAAATATGGAATAGTACACTCGGCTCTTCTTATTTTATCAGTACACACTAAAACCTCATTGCTTAAAAATACTTTTAAAGATTTCTTTACAATTTATATAAATTTTGAATTCCGCTCAAGAGTATGTTGTCCAAGAATATGTTCTCCATTTCTTTTAAAATATAATTCATATAAATAAGACATTTAAGAAATTAGTTTAGTTCAAATAATAATGTTTCATATTATATAATTATACTTCTATTAATGATATTATAAGAAATAAGTACCTAATAGCTACTTACGGTAATAGTAAACATATTTAACGTTGTATTTCCAGTAAGACTTCTGAGGAAGATATGTAAATGTAACACTTTCAATCCTTCTTATATATCAGTGGACTTTTCTATTAAATTCTTGGAATGGAATATAGAAGTTATTGGGGTCATTGTTTGCTCCAAAATTTAAATCAAAAAAGGCTCCAGTTACCTAAAAAGCAACGCACCAAGAAGCTGTTTTTGTTATTTAAATTTGGTATATCGACTCTAATTTCTCATCTTCAAGAAAATGTTCAGAAAAATATCTTCATGCTCCAGAGAAAAAAATGACTTTTGCTGAAATATTTCCATATTGTATATTTTAAATGAGAATCTTTTTTCACAGATGCTGTTTTAAGAATAAATAAAATACATATAAATTTTAGGATATTATTCTTATAATTCATAAGAACTGTTGATGTTCTAGAAATTTTATAAATTATAAAAATAATTCTTATAGTGTTTTCCTTAATTTCTAATTTTATAACTTATAAGACTGTAATATTATTTATTGAAAAAACTTTTTAAATTTGCAATAATAATATTAGAAACAGCATATTATAAATTTTTATTTAAAATGGAATTTAGATTTATTTTAAAAATCTGAAACATTTATTACATGTTTTTCTTTAACTTCTGAAGAAAAAGCCTATTTTGCTTTTAAAATGGTTAATATTTTCATAAAGTAAGGAAAATTATTTATAAATTATATCCTACTTAAAATAGTTGTTATTAATTTGTTATAGTAATTAATTACTGTCGGTATTTAATTATCGATAATTTTTTTTCTACTAAATTTTTAAGTTATGCATACTTAAATCTGAAAAAAGTGCCTTAGAAACACTCAAATAATTAATTGGCAGCCGAAAATATCTCATAGCTATTGAACAGTGTGTGTTTCCCAACGTATACACAAATAAGCTATGGATAAGTGGTTAAGGTACAGAAGAACTAGGGTACGATCCCCAATGGTGGCTTGTAGCCGACTCAGCTTCAAATTGATGGGTACCAGCGCTTATCTGGGAAGTAAAGGCAGCCTCTGCGTAGTGCTGACCATATTGCCCCAATCATGCCGTTGGTCACGAAATTGTGGAGCCTTAATCTCTATGGACACCTTAGCCCCCAAAGGACTGTTGCGGGAATGCTTTACTTTTACTATTAAAAAAATCACCGCCATTAAGAACTATATAGATTGCATATATCTAAACAAAAAATATTTGTTAATCCTGTTATTAATTATCTCTATAACAGGATTAATAAAAGACATTCACCAAGTTCTGTTCAAAAGATAACCATCTACATATATATATATATATTTTAATTTACTATTTTATTTCATATTAAATGAGACAAACTAGTATTCATTAATGATGAATTAATCTTATTCATCTAATGTATTTATCTTGTTTATTTAATAATGCCAATACAAAAATAGATCCTTGGCTTTCTAAGCAGATATATTGCTAATTTCGTTTGAAGGGTTTAAAAAAACTATTAAATTGTACTCATATAACGGTGAGAAAACTGAAATAAAAAAGTATTCCTACTGAATGAACATAATAACATAAAATGAAAGGTTTAAAAAAACTATTAAATTGTACTCATATACGGGTGAGAAAACTGAAATAAAAAAGTATTCCTACTGAATGAACATAATAACAAAAAATGAAGGGTTTAAAAAAACTATTAAATTGTACTCATATACGGGTGAGAAAACTGAAATAAAAAGTATTCCTACTGAATGAACATAATAACATAAAATGAACATAATTACATGAAATGAACATAAAATTAAAATATTCGTGGAATTTAAGAAGACCAATTAATAAATAATTGAATAAACTAGCAGGTTTGTTCTTGGCCTTGCGGAAAACTACTTTTGAGCTTAGAGTGAAAATGAAAAAAGATTCATTATCAACTGAACGCATAAGTAACACTTGCCCTGAAAAAATTTACCAACAAGCTTTTGATAATTTTTAACACTGTCTTCGAAAAGAAATGTCAGACATTATTAGGGTTAATCTAACGTATTAACTTTGTTCGAAAACTTGGCAAAACAATTAATGAAAAGAGATTGGTTTTTAAAACCACTTAAAAAATGTAGCAAAAGGGGAAAAAACAGCACAGGGTCGCTAATCCGAACGAATTGAAACCATTTCTATTTCGAATTATCCGTAATTACGATTATAATTAATGTTTCCAGCAATTTTCATCGAGATATTTAAAAGCAAATTTGTGTCTTTCGCGTTATATTACTTTGCATCGGGATTTTAGAGGCAATTTTTTTTTAATGTAGCCACATGATATTAGCATATATACGTTATCATTTTCATCGCAAAATATCATTTTAAAGATAATGAATCGGAATCGATTTCTTTGCATCACACTCATTACATTTTTCCCTCTTACACTAGATTTCGAATACCAACTGGAACACTACTATTCTAACTATTACTCGGGCTGAGGCCAAGCAGTATAACTTTCATTTATCATTGCTCAAATTTCCTTTCAATTTCCATTGCTTAATCAAGCAGAAAGAAACAAAATACGTTTAAAAAATCAAAATATTCCAAAGAAAATTCCTCGAATAATATTTCATGTATTTCAAAAATTTTAAATTTCCAAGCGAACATTTTAGATTAGTTATTGAAAACGTGTAGAAATAATATATATATATATATTTTTTTTTAGTAAAGTGAAATTGCTTACGAAACATAAAAAGGAGCATTTTTTAATCAGTGTGAGTAATGTTATTTAATTATTCAGCACTAAATTTAATTTCTACTATTTAGCATAAATTAAATAATATGTATATAAAGAGGAACAACTACAAGTTTCCGAGGACGTTTCCTTGTTTCATTTGCAATTATTATATGAAACAACCATTTCAAATGTGATAATTAGCATTTCTTCATTGTTACTTAAAACTTCAAGAAGCTTAATTAATTGCATAAATCTTATCAACCTAATCACGTAAATGGAATCTGTAAAAAAGACATCGCTTCACTTCATTTTAAAATAGCCTTGATCACAAAACGCTCTTTCGTGACACGCGCGCTTTCTGATGCCAGATGATGGATTCTTTTAGTATGACAATCGTTTGGTAATAAATCGTGTTGGGAGAGTAGGTAAGAACCCTTTATTTAATGCTTCGATTATTGAGGGCGAGGTCAATGATGTGTCACGTGGTTGGGGCCCCTTTGCACCCTCTTTTTTTCTTCTTCTGACCAGTTCTAAGGATGGAAAAAAATTCAAAATCGAAATGAAGAGAAGACGGAAGTGTCCTTGCTAGAATTCTAAAAATTAAAAATGGTCTTGTGTTATCGATAGAATCGAAGTTCCACAAACAAGAAATACAAGCCTTGGTGAATGTTTTATTCTTGTGTGTTTACCAAAAGAAAGTAGAGCACCTACTGGGGAGATCTTTTTATTAATTTATAGCTACCAGTAATAAAATTTTATTATAAAAGAACTAATTCATTTCGTCAAGCATAAGAAAAGTAAATACACAGTGATACTAAAATTTTTCTATTTATGCATGAACATTTTCATATATTTCCGAATCACTTGAAACAGAGGGGGGGGGACAGCTGGGGAAAAAAATCACTGAGAAAACACCACCAACGCTTATATGAGATCAACGATCGATTCGATTCAGACTGTTGAGCTCAAATTTAATGTATTTAAATAATTTATTCAAATTTAAATTTTTTAAAAATTCATGACGTAATGCAAATTTTAATATTTTTCTAATTTAAGAAAGTATTATTTTTATGCAATTATAACACGAAAGAGTATAATTTATGGAATTTAGAAAAATAAATTTTTAGAGCTTCTTCAAAGTCCTAATCAAAGAGTTAAAAGGTAGAAATGTGCGAAGTTCTTTTTCGAAATCCTCGTATATTAATTATTATAATTTTTTAAATTATTGAATAAGCTCTAATAGAATTAGCTCTAACCGATTAAGTATTTCAATACAATAATTTCAGGTTCAACTGCCCAAATTGAAACTGTCGATAAAACTATTAAATTTTTAAAATGATGCTTTTTCCGACGCTTTTATTTAATGATTTTTTTTCTGTTTACCAATTGGTTTCAGTATGCAAATTGGTTGCGTTTAAAGTTATTTACAAATGACTGTAAAGCTTTAAGTAAAAAGGTCATGACTAAAACATTTATTGTGAAACTAATAAATCCAATGATAGTAAAATAATTTGTTTAAATATTTTCACAAGAAAAAACTAGTTTTTAAAATAGTTTTAATGGTGTAACTCAATTTCAATCTACTTCTTATGATAATAATAATCCATCTATATTGTGCACATAATTATTATTGTGTAGAGAATAAAAATATTTTCTTTTCATACAAATTTCAAGATCTCTTTACTGATTGTTTTTAATAATGTTCTAATTTTTGTTTAATTCACCGAGAATATAATCATTATTACTATCAAACAAATATTTTAATATACAATTTAACCTAAACTAGAGAAAATTTAAAGAATTTTATCTTATTATTGGTAGATTTTTAAAAAGTATCGATAGAAAAGTGATGGTATAATAAAAAAAGAAAGTGAAAACATACAATAAGAAAAAATGTGAAAAAGTTACTTTTTTATTACAGTCCTTCAAAAAGCCACTTTTTTTACGGTAAAAACCAATAAGATCCAATCAAAACTAAAATATTTTTAACCAATCCTGAATTAACTAGGGGAGCTGAAACGGTCCATCCACTCTTTAAACCCTGCTTGAAGAAAGTTATCTGACGCCCCTTAATTGGGACTTTTCCCACGGTAAGAAAAAACGGACAGGAAATATAATAAGGGGTCAGCAAGTTGTCTCCTAAACAATCTGGATAAGGCCAGAAATTCATTTAATCTTAACTCTCTTGATTAAGTATTATAAAACTTAATTAAATTAGCAGTTGAATTAAAATAGTAATTTAATTGAATATGTTAAATTATAATATAAATTAAGTTTTAAAATAATTAAAGGTAAGATATCGTAAGACATGTAAAGAGTATCACGTAATCTTTAAAGCAGGGAATGTAGATTTTTATGCTTATTTCGGACCTATTCTTCGAAAAAGAGAATTATATTGTAAAGAAAATTGGAATAAAAAATTTTAAGTCGTATAGTTCAACACTACCTAAAATG